GGGAGGGGGGTGGAGATAGAGGATGAATAGACAGTGGCAAATGGTTTGGAGCCATGATAAGTAACTACCCTGGAGGTCCCTGGAGGGAGAGAAGTCAGCTACATAAAAAGGGCAAAAGAACAATTGGTTGTAGCTGCCATTTTGATTTGTTTGATCTCTTCTGCAGATGGCTTACTGCTGCTTCCCTCCCCCTAGACAAAAAATGACCCCAGATTTATTCTGTCTGACCCATTTACTGTATTCTTTCTAATTTCCACCGTAAGGGAGCATCGTCAGAGACAGGACAGTTGGTCAGTGCTAGCTTTATTTAAAACAAAACACAGACAGAATACCAGGTCATATTTGTGCACAGTTGCTTAATGACTGTGACAGAAAGCGTAGGCAAAGTTGGGACAGAAAACTGCATTGTTTGGCACTGCGCTAACTCCTTCTTACAGGTTAAGCCTTTCCCACTGTCTTCTCTTCTCCCTCCCCTCCATTTTTTAATACCGTAGCTCTCTTCCTCAACTACCATATTTTTCAGAGTATAAGACGCACCGGAGTATAAGATGCAGCAAGATTTTGAAGAGGCAAATTAAAAAAAAAGATTTTGCACTCTGCAGACCTCCCAAAAATGGCCCGTTTTTCGTGAAAACAGGCTCATTTTTTGTCAAAAAAAGGGCATGCATAGTCTTTAGGAGGCTTATAGAGTGCTCCGGGGGGGGGGGGACGACAGTCTGTTTTTCACTCATTTTTGCCCTCCTCAGCCCCTAGGAGCACTCTGGAAGCCTCCTAAAGGCTGTTCACGGCCAATTTTGTGAAGGGGTGGGGTTTCAGGAGGCCAAAAATGCTGTATTCAGTGTATATGATGCACCCAGAATTTCACCAATTTCCCAATTTGAGGGAAAAAGGTGCATTTTATATTCCGAAAAATACAGTACATTCATAAACTGAGAAAAAGGTGAAATCACTTTCATTTCTGGCCTTAATGGAAGAATAACACAAACATACAGACTGTGTTCCCCTCAGAGACTTCACATGTCCTTGAGAGCATGTTCACATGAGCCTTTAAACCCAGGACAGTATTCAATGGGAGGGTGGGTCAGGCAAAGCTTTTGCAGCTAGAACAGAAGTTCTTATCCTGGTAGATTTCAGGGGATCTGTGAAGGTGGATGAGAAAAAAAAGCAACATTCTTTTTACTAACATCATTAGCTCGGACGCCGAGCTTGTTGAAAGGCGGTTCGAATCCCTAGCGCTGTGTAACGGAGTGAGCTCAACGTTACTTGGCCCAGCTTCTGCCAACCTAGCAGTTGCAGTTGCAAATAAAAGATGCAAGTAGAAAAATAGGAACCACTTTTGGTGGGAAGGTAACAGCGTTCCGTGCACCTTTGGCATTTAGTTATTTCGGCCACATGACCATAGAGACATCTTTGGACAGTGCTGGCTCTTCGGCTTCGAAACAGAGATGAGCACCGCCCCCTAGAGTCGGGAACAACTAGCATATATGTGCTAGAGGAACCTTTACCTTTAACTGAAATTGAAAAGACTGATAGTCCTTTTTCCGATTAGCAAATTAATTAAAAGGCATCAGCTACCCTGATTTTTTTTTTTTTTTGCCACCTTAAACTAACCCAAATCTCCTACTACACTAGCTGGAATTTAGCTTCCCTTGTTATTGATTTCATGAATTAATAAAGAAGCATGTGTATTATTGTACTGCATACTTGCTGTTTTCCAATAGTATTTGGGCATCATTGGATTGGTTTGCAATACAATCTCTGTATTTTTAGAATGGGAATGCATTTTCCTGAGAAAGGGTGTGGAGCTTTCAACAGACTCTCAAAGGAGTTGATGCCACAGAAAGATTAAGGCTCCTGAGCTAGAATATTCCATGAAACATTCTGTGAGCAAGCTGGAAACACCTAATTCTTGGCCTAATTTTAAATGTTGATTAGCTCTGCTTATTAACTCTTTGCACATCCATTTTATTGAGGCCTCCTAGACCTTGATAATTCAGTGCATTGTGTGCAGGATTTAATGACAGCGGTTGTTGAGAAAAATGTCCTTCTGGGTTCGGCTCCAAGTGGGGAAAAAGACACTGGAGACATGGAGGCTGCTTGGAAAGATGGTTAAATGGTGGACAGGGCCACATGGCTTGAGTCCTGAACAGAAAGGTGATCACATGCTTCAATGTTGGGTGGAGAAGAAGAGAAGAGCCGAGGAAGGGGCTTGCTGGGCTTTTTATAATCTTTTCAGCCCCATCTCTCCGTTTCCTGTTCCTGTGTAAGAAACGTATTCTGATTGGTTGTCAGACTCCCATGGGGCCAGTGTCAACTCTCTAGG